CCTTTCTTCTGATCTACTACCTGGGAATCGAATTTTCAGCACTATTACTAAATTCTCTTGGTTTACACTTTCGTGATACAACACTGACATGGCAGTGCAGAAACAGAAAAACACCCGTATCGTCTAAATTTGCGGTGATCCTGCGCCCTCTAAACCGTCAGTACCTGCACAAATTGCGTGTCAGTGCTTGAAGACCAACACCGCAGAAGGGGTGTTTGTCGGGAGAAGTCAGTTTTCGAACATTTTTCGCACCTTCCACCTACACGTGAAGAACCCACGGGACACTTCGGTCGCAAGCCTGGCTGGACTTCAGACATGACGCTGTGAACCGGAACACCATTTGTGGGCAAAGTCAAACTTTCGAAAAATAAATATCTCAGCTTTGCGGGTAGAGGGGAACGAACGGGGTCCATGAAATGATTCAGAAGAAGAAGATGTGGTCGCTGGAACATGGTGGTAATTGTCCTTGCTTGAACCCGTTATCAGTGACGATCACAGATGATGTTGGGTCCGAGCGGTCTATCCCATTTTATGCCAGCGTACTCGCACCTGTTAGTTGTTGGCGCTATGCTCTTTTCTGCATGGATACAGAGCTGTTTCTATGCTTGTTGCTCACGGTCGAAATTCCGACCTGTCGATAGACCGGTGAAAACGTTTCCATTTTTCAAGGTAGACAAGTCTCGCCGTAATAACAGAAGTAAGTTAACAAGCCGTCATCATTATTCAAAACTCAACGGACCCCCACCACAGTTGCCTGAAAACCCCCTCGCGTTGCCCTAAACAACGAGACGTTTTACTGAATAACATTACGATTCCGGTGAACGCAACCACTTCTTCTTCTAGACAAACACCTGGGATGTGAACCTTTGCCTCTATTGACAGGGTCTCTCGGATCCAGGGCATATTGGCTATAATGCATGTTCTTCGTTGCAACGAACGACCATTCGCTCTGGGTTCACCAATGGTGGAAAAGATCGTCTCTCAATCCCCGCAAATATTCATTTATTGTTTTTATCTAGCACGTTTTTTTTCACTGTAGCATCCTACATTGGATAACAGTGTTGAAGTGATATTCTACTGCATTCATCCTTAGCCCTACACGAGCTCAAATTAGCCTTAAAAAACCTTTTTAATATTCCAGCGTTTTAATTTCTTTAGAAATTAATTTATGTTTGCGATATACATCGGTAAGGTCTATAGGCATAGACGGAAATGTGATATGTCTAGTTGGGCTAAACTCCGTCAACAAACGGACAGCATACACGTGTTTTACCGGTATTCTGTTGCTGCTTGAGACAGCTGCGAGTGGTCCGATGGTTGGTGTAGTACTTTAATAAGGTATACTAATATTATTTAAAAAAAGAAGATGCGGTCGCTGGAACAGAGCGGTAACTGGCCTGTTGATAGACCGGTGAAAAAAGAATTCGTCAGGGCGAAGGCCATTAACGGGATAGATAAGCCTCGCCGTGATAAGTGAAGTAAGTCAACAAGCAGCTATAAATATTATTCAAAACTCGAAGGACCCCCTTCTGGCCGTTGTCTGAAAGTCGCGTCGTGAAATGATTTTCATCCTTAGCCCTATACGAGCTCAAACTAGCTTTAAAAAGGTATTTGATAGTTTTATGTAATCGTACAGTTTTGTCAGAGTTGGGCTAATGACCCTCGTCACACCTGTTTCAAACTGACTCTCTGTCGCTCGCATTTGCAGGTGGGCTTCATGCGATTGCCGGAGACAGCCGCTGGCCATGACGCTGAAGTCCGGGAGGTACAGGGTGAATGCGTCCACGGAGCTCGACCAAAGGGTGCCAACAGCAACCACACCGCCGAGCTCACGACTGATGTGGCCGGCCAGCTTTCAGGCGGGCTGAGGCCGTCTTTCTGCAAAGCAAATGGTCGCTGGCATGTACTGGCTGGCAGCGTTTGTGAGTGTCTAGCAGGATATGAGCCCTCTGCGGACAGTTCTGTCTGCACAGGTAAACAAGTGCAATAGGATAGGTTTTAATGTGCATTTTTTTCTTTTTTTCTTAGAAATCATTGAGCAGACTTGGCCCAAAATGTTCAGGAGGGATTTAAATGCGATCACTGGAACAATATTTTTATTTTCCGAAACATAAGGAAATTACAATTCTCGTTCCAGTGATTGCATCGTCTTCCGAACTGCTTCCTGGAACTCGCATATTTGCTTCTATCGGCAACGATTTGAATGTAAACCTTTGTTGTAGCATATACAGATAAAAATAAGCCTGAGCGTCAACTCACTTACTGTGGGCGCTGACATTATCCTTGTAAAGCTCCGCAAATATTCGAAGGAGCCAGGTAAGAGAGAGAGAAAGATATGCTTTGTTTTGAAGATATTTTTCCTAAACGTTCAGCGAAAATGTCCTCAATTCAAAATGAATAAAATTAGGCGCCCCAAATCCCAAAACCCGGAAACCAAAAGCAGCTTATAATCGTCAACGACTGCAATTGTCGGCATCGTGGATAAAATGCCTTGAAAGAGCCTTCGAATATAGGCCGAACTGGACTGCTTTCAAAACGGTGCTAGAGTCGTACACTGACTACCGCAATGTAAATAAACACATAGGGGTGCAAATCGGTTTATACGGTGAGAAGTAGGCCAACCAACGCATTTATAAGAATTCAGAAGAGTTTGGGCGACCAGACGTAGCTCTCGATAAAAACTCTTCTGGCCATTACATTTATATAGGGAGGATGTAAAAAAGTAACATTCTGGTCATAATGTTATCACAAAGCGCAAATTAGTCATGTGCATGAGGGAGGGGCGTGAGGTTGATAGTAATCAGCTGGTTGCAAGTTGATGAGGTTTTGTTGAGTCCGGACAACGGATGAGGGGGTTGAAGCGGTAGAAAGCGCGAAAAGATGCA